GGCACCATGTCCAAGCTTCAGCTGTATGCCCACCGATGCCCTGTCATGGGCAAGGCGATGGCCGTCCAGTCGTCCAAGTACGGCGCCGCCGCTGCCATTCGTGCTTTCTCGGCGCAGTCCAAGGGCAGCAAGGCGCATCTCCACACCAGTCGCAACAAGGAAGCCAGGGCTGTTGACAGCCCATTGCTCGATGGACGCAAGAATGGTACGTCATATCAACTCGCCCTCCTTTGGAAGCGCACTCTCTATTAACACATGATGCAGCGCATCTGCCTCCCAGCATGACAATTCCTCGCAAGGACGCCTCACCCGCCGCCGCCACCGGCAATGCCTTCAACTCCGCCGGCAAGTTCTCCTACGAGAGCTTCTATACTAGCGAATTGGACAAGAAGCACAAGGACAAGTCCTATCGCTACTTCAACAACATCAATCGCCTTGCCAAGGAGTTCCCCGTCGCCCACATGGCCAACAAGGAGGACAAGGTCACCGTCTGGTGCGCAAACGACTATCTTGGCATGGGTCGCAACTCTCAAGTCTTGAATACCATGCACGAGACCTTGGACGAATATGGTGCCGGAGCCGGGGGCACGAGGAACATTTCGGGACACAACAGGCATGCGGTGGAATTGGAGGGAACACTGGCGAAGCTTCACGCCAAGGACGCGGCCCTCGTCTTCAGCTCTTGCTACGTTGCCAACGACGCAACGCTCGCAACGCTCGGCAGCAAGCTTCCCGAATGCGTCATTCTCTCCGACAGTCTTAACCACGCCTCCATGATTCAGGGAATCCGTCACTCAAACAGTAAAAAGATTGTGTTCAAGCACAATGATATAGCAGACTTGGAGGCCAAGTTGGCCTCTCTTCCGGTCCATGTCCCCAAAATTATCGCCTTCGAGTCTGTTTACAGCATGTGCGGATCCATCGGCCCAATTGAGGAGATTTGCGACCTGGCCGACAAGTATGGCGCCATTACCTTTTTGGATGAAGTTCACGCTGTTGGCATGTATGGCCCGACTGGCGCTGGTGTAGCTGAGCATCTGGATTGGGACGCACATGCCCAGGGTAGACCACAGGGCACTGTTATGGACCGCATTGATATTATTACGGGTACTCTTGGAAAGGCTTACGGATGTGTCGGTGGCTATATTGCTGGTAGTGCCAAGTTCGTCGACTTTATCAGGTCTCACGCGCCTGGCTTCATTTTCACTACTTCGCTGCCGCCGGCCACCATGGCTGGAGCCAGGGCTTCGATTGAATACCAGATGAACTACGACGGTGATCGTCGCCTCCAGCAGCTTCACACTCGGGCTGTCAAGGAAGAGCTTGATGCTAGGGACATTCCCGTCATTCCCAACCCTTCTCACATTATTCCCATCCTGGTCGGAAACGCCGAGCTCGCCAAGAAGGCGTCAGACATGCTGCTTCAGGACTACAGGATTTACGTCCAGTCCATCAATTACCCCACTGTGCCCGTTGGTCAGGAACGCCTGCGCATCACGCCTACCCCCGGCCACACCAAGGAGCACAGAGACTGGCTTGTTGCGGCGGTGGACGAAATCTGGACTCGTCTTGACATCAAGCGCACCTCACAGTGGGCTGCTGAGGGCGGCTTTATTGGTGTGGGTGAAGAGGGCAATGTGCAGGACCCTCTTTGGACGGACAAGCAGCTCCGCATTGAGCAGACTGCCAAGGAGGTTAAAGCCACTGCTGAGGCCAACCAGGGCCTTACCGAGACCTTGCTTCAGCGTGAGCTGAACACTGCCAACCGAATTGTCGGCGTTGCAGCTTAAATGGACATGGAAACGATTGGATATGATGAACGGCATCTAGGAATGCCGAAAGGATTTACATTCTATTTTGATAACCTTTTTGATGACACCTTTTTTGATCAAAAGCCCACCAGCTTCAGCTGAGCGGGGATACCAATATTATATATGTGTGCTTGTGTGACACTGCAGATTGCAGCACACTTTTCAGCTTCTTGATTGGTCTAGTGAAGTTTCCATCTGGCGTGAATGACATGTTTATCCGTCCACAAAATGTGGCTTGGAGAGCCATCTTTTCCTGAATATTGCCAATGTAATCTATTATATATTAAGCTGGCTATTTGGCGCCGCGGAGACCGAGGCACTTTGGCCGGAAGCGGAAAAACTTACCGAACCCATGACAAAGTTTGAATGTTTGCCTGAGATATGAGGCCTCAAAAAAAATGTTACGGAAGGCTCCACAAAAACCGCCCCCAGTGCGGAACGGATGTCCGGGGCAATATCGTAGTCCGCTGCCGTGTCTTGAATGCCTTCGCCGTCCGCCATGACCGGAAAGGCGTCGTCACCTTCTTCCGTTTATCTTCTTGTCGAGTCTTCTATGAATTGGAGATGCGATTATGATAGAAGATGAGAGAATAAATTTTCATGTTTGTTGTTGTCGTTGACGTCGTTGAAATCCCCATGTCTCCATGTACATACCATACCTTATTTTTGTTCCCTGTCGTTGATAAGATAATTCGTTGCTCCTTCCCTCCATCCGTCTTACACGAACCCGGATTCCAAATCAAATAAAACCAAGGAACGCGCTTTCCAAGCGGACACGGACACGGATGTCAATGATTTCATCTCATAAACTCGATCCAACACACATCCATTCCAATAACCGAACTGAGGACACACACGCACTTGCTCACGCACTTCGCTCACCCGCTCACCCTTAACCTACCAACTGACCCTGACTAAACTCATCTCATATATCATGGCCGAACCCACCATGATGATGCAGCCCACAAATAAGGGACCAAAAGCTTGTACCACGTGTGCCAAGGCAAAGGCAAGATGCATTCCAGGTCCTGAACCAGACAGCAAGTGTGAAAGGTATTTATACCCCCAGCCTACTTCATCCCACCATACTCTAAGCGGAGCAATTATCGTTCCTTGCAAGGCTGCTGCTGCGGGTCAATATATCTAATCTTCGTCATCATCATCTAGATGCCAGCGCCTCAGGAAGGATTGCTTCTCCCGTCCTCCGGCTCCGCCCCGGGCTAAGAAAGTGCCTAAGCGATCCAGGGTCGCTGAGCTAGAGAAGAGATTAGATGAACTGTCATCTCAATTCGAAGGGGCCCAGCCAGGCCTCACGCAGCAGTCCGAGAGTGATGGATCGGCCGTTGTTCCACCGCCCACCAAATGCGGCGACAAGATGTCGCTCAGGCATCTTTTTCCTTCCCCTCGCTCACCCGGGCTAGAAAGCAGCGAGGCCTCAGCATGGAGTCCAGAGGTATTCAAAGAGTATGATAGTGTGTGGCCGCTGCCGAGCGAGGCAGGGATATTGCTCAATCAGTATCATGATATTTACGGCTCGCTATTTCCATTCGTGGTCATGCCGCCTCACATGACGGCGGCCGAACTGAAACAACAAAAGCCATTTTTGTGGAAGGCTGTTATGATGACAAGTTGTTTCTTTGATGCCTCGAGGCAGCTGCGGTTGGGCCATGAGCTATTGAACGACGTGATGAAGGCGTCTTTTATGGAGGGAGTGCAAAGTTTAGACTTGTTACAGGCCTTGTTGTTAATGATATCCTGGTAAGTTTCGGTATTTGGCAAGCCTCTTTATGAGACTAACTTTATGGTGATTAGGTTCAATGTTGCCCTCAAGGGCACACAGCTTACTCATCTTCTCTTCCTAGCAAGATCAATGAGCATGAGTCTCAACTCACCAGGCTGCCATACGTCTCAAGAAGCAGTCAAATTTGGAACACTGGAGCACATCAGGGCCTATGCAGGGGCATACTACCTTAATACACTGTAAGTCTTTAATCCTTTTTGACCTATCATATACTTATATCATTGCAGAGTTTTCACCACTAATAAGAAAACCGACGCCCTCATGAGCACATCACAATTAGACACTTACTGCCAAGTCCTAGAGGCCGCCATGGAATATTCATCTGATGAATACCTTATCAAACTGGTCAGGATACAACAGCTGACACAATCTATTGCACTGACAATGGCTTTTGACCCCAACCAGCCCACGATGCAACTCCACCTAACCATGGTGGTTCAGTCCTTCCAGCAGCAGATTGATAGATTTAGGCAGTCGTTACCTCCTCATTTACAGGATAACCGTAGGTTTAATAGTAGATCTCATCTCAAAATTGCACTTTGTGACTAACAATCCATCAGCGACTCTCCTAAACCACATGGGTATCGCCGAGGTCCTCGTCATGGACGTTGCCATCTCAGACCAGCACTGCAACCCTTCTATTATGCCTCTTTCAGATCGCCTACAACTTCTCTGGGCGTGTGTACGATCCCTCCGTTCTTTCTTCAATGTTCGTGTTGGCGGACGATGTTTCGAAAAGCCGCGCTTCATTGTCCTCAGTGCCTCAGACCTAGCCTTTGCCATCATCACGGCGATGAAACTTCTCATGGTGAAAGTACCGGGCTGGAATCCCAAGATTATTGTCTCCGAACTAGCGCTTTACGAATTACTCGAGAGTCACATTCAGGAGCTAAACGACTTGGTTGCTCGTCGTCGAGGGGGGCTCTTGTCCATGACGGAGGGTGGGTCGCCACCAGAAGATCCAATGGAGAGGCTATGTAGGTTGCTCAAGAATGGAAAGGAATTGATCGACTTGCAGTTACAAAAGAGAGACCAAGCGGAAGTGCTTGGTGATGCGAGCCAGGGGTGGATGATGGGTGATTTGGATGAAGAGATGTGGGCGAATTTTGTAAGTGATACGGCCTGGAATGTTACTGGGGATCCCCTCCTCATGGATATGAATTGATGTAAGACAAGATGTCTGTATATGTGCTGTTGCTGCCACTCATTTGTATTATATCTCAAGCATGTATATTTATCAGGGATTTAGCGGGTATGGGTATTGAGAGTCATTTTACAGTCCATCTAGCTCTCGTTTAAGTATGAAAAAAGTTGCTAGTGCCAAAAGGGGGGGTTATAGATGAGGTTGGTGAAGCCTTCAGGGGGCGGCAAAAAAGAACACGCGAATCTGCCCGTACGCTGGATTGAACAGCGGACCTCATCATGTCGCTTAAGAGTACGAGTGATGCGCTACTACCACTGAGCTACACGGGCTTAACCCACTTGACCTTGGCGGGATAAAATAATAGGTTATACATGTTGTGAAGCCAAGAATCTAGGAGGGACTTTCAGAACCTAGTGTTTGACGAGGAATGAATGAACTCCCTTTTGTATGTTTGAAGAACTTATTAAGACCTGTGTATGATACTTGATGTAAAGCAATTCTAGAGACAAATTGAAACGTCACTGTTTGATGTGAGTAGGATGTTGAGTACCCTGATCAGTAACATGATAGAGCATCAATACCGGGATGCATATAATTCCATACTTGGTTCCCTATAAAGCCTCCTCTAGAAATTAAATTCTCTTATGATAACTTTATTGATGCCCGAATTCTCTTTCTTTTTCTTTTTCTTTCTTTCTTTCTTTCTTTCTTTCTTTCTTTCTTTCTTTCTTTCTTTCTTTCTTTCTTTCTTTCTTCATCTCTACTCATCCCTCACATCCATTACTTCCACCCTCGCCGCCTTCAACCACTCGATATCTCCATTCGCAGTCTCGGTCCTCACGGCGTACAACTCATCAATAAACGCGGGGACAAACGTCCCGGGGCCTTTGACATCGTCCCTCCTCGCCGCCCTCTCGGCCGCGATGCCGTACATGACCGTGCCCGCCACGGCGGCAATGAGCGGGCTCCCGACCCTAAAGGCGGCGACCATGGCGCTCAGGGTGGTGCCCAGGGAGCACCCTGTGCCTGTCACCTTGCCCAGGAGGGGGTGCCCGTTGTCCACGCGGATGGTGCTCGACCCGTCGCTGAGGAAGTCGGTGGCGCCGGTGAGGAGTATGACGGAGGAGGTTCGCCTGGCGAGGGAGCGGACGAGGCTGGCGCGTTGGGTTAAAGATAGGGAGGATGCGGAGTCTACGCCGCGCTGGCGGAGGGAGGCGCCGTGGACGGTTTGGATTTCGCCTTCGTTGCCTTTTATGATGCTGAAGTGGCCGGCGGCGAGGAGCTGTTTGACGGCTTCGCGGCGGACGGTGGTGGCTCCGGCGCTGAAAATGATGATTAGCTTTTTTCTTCTTTTTCCTTATGTAGACGAGTAAGAGTAAGAGTAATAGTAGGAGTAGGAACAGGGTAAAGGGGGTCTAGTAAGAGGGGGAGGGGGAGGGATCATACCCGACGGGATCGAAAACCACAGGTAGATCAGCGTCATTGTAGGCCTTCAGGGCTTGGACGTAGTTCTTCAACCCTTCTGGTGTCACGGTTCCCATGTTTATAAGGAGAGCGCCTCCTATCTTGGCGATGTCGGCTGCTTCCTCGGCGTAGTTGGACATGATGGGGCTTGCTCCCACTGCCAGGGCGATGTTGGCCGAAAAGTTCTGCACGACCTGGAACCGATCATCAGCATCATGATGAACCCCCCAAACACTATATCGAGAAAAAGGGGGACTTTAAGAATCATCATTCATACCATGTTAGTCATGTTATGCGACAGCGGCGTCGTCTCATGCACCGCCCTCAACACATCCGGGATCCTCCCCGCCACCACTTCCCCCAGCAAGACCCTCGCCGCCTCCGCCGGGTCCGACGCGCCGACAATGGCGCTCACCACGGCGATGCCGTCGAGGCTCTTCCGGGGCGAGACGCTGCACTCCAGGAGCACGGATCTGGCGTTTTGGCGGTTGACGCCGCCGATGCAGACGGTGGGTATGGCGCCGTGGCCGGCCTCGGAGAGGGCCGAGAGGATGTCACGCACACCCGCCGTGCCGAGGATGTTTGACGTGTCTTTTTTGCTGTAGATTTTGTTTCAAGTGAGTGAGTCAGTGAGTCCTTTTTTGGGAGGGGGGTTTATATATATATATATAAGAAATAAAAAAGCGGAGGGTAGATGTACGTTGATGTTGCATGGACGGCTCCGAGGCCGAGATAGTCGGCCCCGACTCCGCATGCCTTGATGGCTTCTTGGATGGAACTGGCCGATACACCAATGATTTTCCCTGGACCAAGCAATCTTCTCGCCTGTGAATATTCTAATTTTCCATCAAATCGTCAGTCATATGTATATATATGTATATGTATATATATACCCTCAATCATACAAGAGAAAGTGAGACACACACACAGAGAGAGAGAGAGAGAGAAAGTAAATAAAGGCCAGACTCACCCATATCATCCTGCCCAATATGCACCCCCTCACATCCCACCTCAACAGCAACATCCACCCGATCATTAATCAGAAGCGGAACCCCATACCTCCTCGTAACCTCGTGGAGCGCCCTCGCCGTCCTCACCGCCGTCTCCGCGTCGCACGTCTTGTCGCGATACTGCACGCACGTCACGCCCCCGTGGAGCGCCGCCTCGACGACCTTGACCAGGTCCCTGTCGCCTAGGATCTCGGGCGTGGAGTCGGTGACGAGGTAGACGCTGTAATCGACCGGCGGTTTGGACATTGTCTTTATTTCTTTTATTTCTTTTCTTTGTCTCTTTTTTGTTAGGACCGCCCTTGTATTATATATTAATACTGGTTAGTAATGAGATGTAGGTTGAAGTTGAGAAAATGGAGCCAAGTCGTTGAAAGTGGAATAAATATTCCCGCACGAAAAAAAACAGGTTTTGAAAGTAATCAAAGTTGGTGGTATTTTGCCCGGTTATAGTCGGACAAATCAATCATCAACCTATTGCTTTTTATGACGGAACATGTTACATAGATACCTAGTATTCATAAAAAAGTTACATTCGTGTTCAATTGTTATGATAGGGTGTGATTATAAAGACTGCATATTTTCCGTAAAAACAATAGTGTCTTCAGTATGCATGCTGATGGACAAGTCCGAGTATAAGAGTAAAATGTACAGAATACAGAGCATGGAATGATCCCAACGAAATTGTGTCACCGATACCAACATGAGTTGAGATGTCAATAATGGGCTATGCATAATTTTTGATTCTATCCATTCTATACCATTCTTTTCATGTCATTCATTTTCCGTCATCCTCCTTTGCTGTGAACCCATTACACACACCATCAATTCAACCCCATTCTCACATCCCATACCCTAGAACCTCGATATATCCCTCCCAAAGATCCAGGTTATAAGCCAATGCACCGGAATCATAATTTTGTTTCTGATACTCATGCTTCTCGTCAAATATGCTGTCCGCCACAGCATCCATGCAGGCCAGCCCTTGAGCTCATCAGCACTGCTTTGATGAATCGCCTTGTAACTTCCCAGGTAGGCCATGACGCCCAGGTTGCGGAACTTGAACGGCAGGGATCTGCTATCATCGGTGGTGTCGGTTCTCTTATTGAGTTGCTTACCGAGGTAGACGGCTTGCTGGTTAGCTACCTGTGCTGTCGCTGGATATCGCTGTTCCTGAACGACCGAACAGTCACCGAGAGCATATACATCAGGAAGCGTCGTAGTCGTTCCATCAGGACCCTGTAGTTGGACACGCATATGCGAGTCCGTAATTATGCCTCCAGACTTTGCATCCTTGGCAATCTGTCCAAGACTTTCAATCTCCTTGTTTAATAAACCGCCGACAAGCGGATTCTGCATTAGTCCCGTGCTCCAAACCACCAATCCTGCACCGACCTCTTCTGGCTCCTCCTTGACTCGAAGCATGAGCGTATTCCCTTCTCGTCGGATACGCTCTAGATGGTGCAGCGTCTTGACGCTGATCCCTTGTCGACGAAACATGTCGGTCGCATAGGAGGCCAGGTTTCGGTCAAACATGGGTAGCACCTTGGGCGCAATATCGTAAATAGTGATGCGCACATGGGGCACAAGCTGAGGGTAAAGCTTCGATAGATCATCCCGAACCAAGTCGTGCAGCTCAGCAGCGAACTCGATTCCTGTAGGTCCTCCACCGACAATCACAAAATGGAGAAGCTTCTTCTTGTCTTCTTCGCTTGTAGGCGGCAGACCAGCTCTTTCAAAGGCTTCGAGAACCCGCAGGCGAATGATGCGAGCATCTCCAATGTCCCTCAGAAAGCATGCGTGCTCCTTTACACCCTCAATACCAAAGGTCTGACTATAAGACCCCACGGCTATGATTAGCTTGTCATATTCAACATCAAACTCTGGGCCTTTTGTCTTCTTCACAGGCTGGACTTCTGTCCTAGCACCGATATCGCCATAGGTATTGGCCTCGGCGCGAATGACCTTGCGCTTGAAGTCAATGTCTGAAGCCCAGGCTTGATGGAACTCGGTCAGACCTAAACGTCTCACGGGCTCAATGGCTGTGCGGAACTCGAGTGTGCCGACTGACGTAGAAGCGAGCAGTGGTGTAAAGACAAAGTGTGAGCGAGGTGATACGAGGATGCGAGAGTACTTGGAGGGCGAGAGGGTGCGGGCGAGGGCGTATCCTGCCCATCCTGATCCAAGGATGACGACTCGCTCTTTCCGTTCTGTATGACAGTTAGTGCGAGAGGTTCTAGAAGGAATGAATGTAGTTGGTACTTGCCATGTTTTCTGCTTGAGCTCCATGACCTCACTGTAACCCTGACTATCGGTCTCTGCTTCCGCAGTTTCATCAACGACCGGCACTCATGTCGGGACAACCCTAACCCTGGCATAGTTCTCCAGGCTTGCACTGCATCAATCTATAAGTAGCCGTGAAAGTAAAGACTGGAACCTCTCTGAATTGTACGTCTCACAAAGAAATGGTTCGATGGCACTTGATTGTAAAAAGATGACTGTCGTGTGACCTTTAAAGTCTATTAAATAGAAAAGTCCGCCACGGGGCTTTCCTTATCTTGACATGACATCAATCTGAACGAAAACAATCGGCACACGCTGCAACAGGGCTGGCGTTTCCATGGGCGTCTCCACTCCCCCCAATCGGATCCAAGAAAAATGTGTTTTGTCACTGGTTCCAAATTGCTCTGCTAGAGAATTAGAAAAACAAAAAATAAACCTTGTGAAATTCAATACTTGGTTGTCTTGGTTCTCCTGACTCCATAAGACGATAATTCTTCGGGATATTCTTGGTCTCAGCTCCAAAGCCTCAAACCCGGCTCTCCGGTTACGCAACCCGTTCCACCCGAAATTGATCA